TATGGAAAGCTGTATGGAAGTTCCTCAAAAAAGTAAAAATAGAAATACCATACAACTCAGTAATTTCACTTCTAGGAATTTACCCAAAGAAAACAAAATCTCTGATTTGAAAAGATATATGCACACCTATATTTATTGACATATTACTGACAACAGCCAAGATATGGAGGCAACCAAAGTGTCCATCAATAGATGACTGGATAAAGAAGAGACAGTACATATATACAATGGAATGTTATTCATCCATAAAAAAGAAAAAAATCCTGCCATTTGTACAACATGGATAGACCTAGAGGGTATTATGTTAAGTGAAATAAGCCAGGTGGAGAAAGACAAATACCATATAATTTCACTTAGTTATGTAATATAAAAACAAAACAAAACATAATGAACAAAACAGCAAGCTCTCCTGCGAGAGCAGCGCCCCTTCGTGCCTTGCCCCGGTTTCCTCTGCCTGCGCCACACAGCCGAGCGCCGGTGGCGGCCTTTGGGTCTGGCCCAGGCAGCTGCACACCGGGAGGAGATTCTGGGTGGCTGCTGGGGGTGCTGCCACTCCCCAGCACCTCCACCACCGCCGGTGCATGCGGCTGTTCTGACTCCTCCACCCCTGCCGCAGGCATGCACGGCCGCTCTCCAGGTACTGGGCTGCTGTGTCAGGGGCCACACCAGCCAAGGGAATAACTGGCAGGCTACATATTGCCTTGAGGGGCTTCAGGGCTGCGTTGCCACCCAGAGGGCTGGGGCACCTGAATTTCCTCAGGATTCCCAGCCTGCTGGGCTGAGTGTGCTAGGATGCTTCCATCCAGCTGTGAGGCCCTTGTCCCTTTAAGAGTTTCAAAAAGCATTCGCTTTTCTTTTGTCCCAGGGGAGCCGGTTGTGGGGACCCACTTGCAAATTTTGCTTTTCTGTTTCTCTAATACCCAGCACAGTATTCAATGTGTGTCTGTGCTCCCGGTGCGGATCACTAGAGCTGGTTGTTTAGCAGTCCTGGGCTTTCACTCCCTCCTTGCTGTGACTCCTTTCCTCCTACCGGGGAGCTGGGGTGGGGAGAGCACTCAGGTCCCACTGGGCTGCAGCTTGTATCTTACCCCCTTCGTGAGATGCAGAGTTCTCACAGACGTAGATGTAGCCTGGCTGTTTGTTGTAGTGTATCCACTGGTCTCTCTTTTAGGAATAGTTGTATTTTTTGTATTTTCAAAAATATGTGTGGTTTTAGGAGGAGATTTCCAGTGCCCTATTCACACCGCCATCTTGGCTCGTCTCTTCAATATAGTTTTTAAGAGAGAAGACTTTCAAGTAAAGCAACCTGAGTTCAGAAGGTGACTCTGAAACTTACCAGCTGAGTATGCTTGGGAAAGTTCCCTAACATTCTTGGGCTTGTTTTCCTACCTGGAAAATGAGAATAATAGCCAGAATGGATGTCTGTAAAGCAATTAATATAGGTTTTTTATTCACAGCAAGAGCTCTATAAACTACAGCTCTTATATTTTTTGACACAGTAAGCAGCTGAAATACCTTGAAACTTAAACATATTTATATTATTAGTATTCACACATGAAACATACTGCCATCTTTGGTTGCTTTTATACCATGACTCCCATATTCAATCAATAACTCCTACTGCATAGCATAAAACAATGACTGCATTTCTTTCTTGACCACTCCCCACAACATGCCCCTATAACATAACTATAGAAAGGACCAGAGTTGGCCTCAGGTATTCAGAGATGGCAATGAATTTCCACCTTTTTTCCTGTTCTATTTCTCTCCTTTGGTATTTCTTTCCGTATTTCTCCTTTGATAATAAAGGAGAGAAATAAAGAATCATCAGACAGTGTTTATAATACCTAAATAAGAGAGGTAAGTTAGACTGCTAGATAGTAAAGAAGCTATCCTTGAACCTTTGGTAACCACAAATCTGTGTTAACACACAGATGCATCAGGCTGAGGATTCCTGATGAGGTCAGTACTGGCAGTCCCTAAAAAGACCTGGATACAAAAAATTACTGGGAAGAGCAACTATAGCTGCATATTTTGTGCAGATGTAATGTGAGTGGCCTATGCAGATCCTCAGGGATCCCTTTACCAGTTACAGCTGGTGCTATTGCTAACTGCTCACTCTGCAACCTTCTCCAAAGGGTTGCCCTTGAGCCACTTTGCTGCAGAGCTCCCTGAAGGATCAGGCTGAGGCCAGAGTTCACCTGAAACCACATGTTCAATTAGCTCCTCTCTCTTCTCCATCCCCTTCAAAGTTTTACCTGGAGGCTCCCTTTATGTGCCACTGTGTCAGAGTCTGAGGTGCTGTTTCTAGGGAATCTGACCTATGACATTCTGTATCTTAGTGGTTCATTCTCTTTCAAACTGCAAAGTTATGGTCCATATGGGCTTGAGAAATAAGTTTAGAGTTACAACTAGCACATTACACAAACAAAAACCGAGAATAGGACAGATGAGAAGAGAAAATATTAGAGTGCACTGCATTTAGTAAGCCATATGCATATGCCATGGAACTTTTACTTCCATTTTGTGTGTTTATGTGTGTGTACATACACATAAGACATGTCTTTTTTTGAGTCATGATGTAAAATGTATTTGTAACTGTCAGTCAAAAGGTTTTGAAAGCCACTCTTGAATCCATGCTGACTATCCAATTTGATTACTTCATTAGATAGATTATACTAGGAGAGTAAAATAATATATTTCATCATCCTTACAAATATAGATCTTTAATTTACTGAGAGAAAATTCCTGTCTTTAAGAATAAAATTAGAAAAATATTTTAGCCATGCTTTCAATCTCTAGAAAGGTACAGCCAGTATTCAATTGTATTCACCACTGTCAGTGTTTTCCATTCTATGCTTCAATTTGCTTCCACTCTAGTGTCTCTAAGTAACAGTAACAGATTTGCCTAAGTTAAACAATTTGTCTGAGGTCACACAGCTAGGGCATGGTAGAACTGGGATTCAAACCCAAACAGTGTTTCTCCAGAATTGGTAGACTTAATTAACCACAGCTGAAAAGTTATTTTTCACAAAACAGCTCTTATTTCATCATATAATAGGAGGTACAAAGAAATAAAACAGCAAGTACTAAAGGGGAACCTTATGTAAAAAATGTAAGAACTCCAGCAGGTGAAAAAAGTTGTATCCCATGGGTTATAGTTACATGGGTGATGGCTTTGTAATTATTTGTTATTACTAGATATAAGAGCTTTTTGAAGTTTTTATGAATGTTATATTCACCAAAAGGAAAAGTGGAAAAGTTATGTTATTATTCCTTTATAAACCCGAATTTACCAGAAATTACCAGTTTTATCTGGCTTATTAATAATTTGCTTTAGTTTTTTGATAAGGGAATTTATTTGAAAACGTTTTCAAAATAGTTCTTTTAAAATTACATCAACCTTGGCCAATAGACACATGAAAAGATGTTTCACATTACAATCATCAGGGAAATGCAAATCAAAACTACAGTGAGATACCACCTTATACCTGTTAGAATGGTCACTATCCAAAAGACAAAAAATAACAAGTGTTGGAGAGGATGTGAAGAAAAGGGAACTGTTCTACACTTGTAGTGGTAATGTAAATTGGTATATCCACTATGGAAAGCTGTATGGAAGTTCCTCAAAAAAGTAAAAATAGAAATACCATACAACTCAGTAATTTCACTTCTAGGAATTTACCCAAAGAAAACAAAATCTCTGATTTGAAAAGATATATGCACACCTATATTTATTGACATATTACTGACAACAGCCAAGATATGGAGGCAACCAAAGTGTCCATCAATAGATGACTGGATAAAGAAGAGACAGTACATATATACAATGGAATGTTATTCATCCATAAAAAAGAAAAAAATCCTGCCATTTGTACAACATGGATAGACCTAGAGGGTATTATGTTAAGTGAAATAAGCCAGGTGGAGAAAGACAAATACCATATAATTTCACTTAGTTATGTAATATAAAAACAAAACAAAACATAATGAACAAAACAGCAGTAGAATCAGAGACACTAAGAAGTGACTGGTGGTTACCATAGGGAAGGGGTTGGGGTGGATGGGTGTGTGGGGAGGTGAGGCGGATAAAGGGGGACAACATTTCTCACTCATAGTACAAATTGGTCACAGGGATGGTAGTACAGCATGGAGAATATAGCCAATGATTCTGTAACATCTTCCTATGTTGACAGATAGTAACTGCACTAGTGGGAGTCAGTATTTAATAATATGGGTAACTGTTGAACCAATGTGTTGTATACTTTACTTGGAACCAATATAAGATTATATATCCACTATACTCCAATAAAAAAGTTAAATACAGACATATAATGTTTAAAAAATTACACCAAGCTTCATGTCAGTAGTTTTTCATTTAAATTACAAAAATCAAAGTGTATGCATTTGAGAATTCATTAAGAAAGTAACCCATGTGCATTTCAGATGACTGGTTCTTACAAAAATCACACACAGTCCATAAATTTTAAATTTCCTAGGAAAACTCAGTACAAAACTTGGTGCATCACATTAATATTTATGGTATAGACAACACTGCTCATCAAGTGTCCCATCTGCTCACTTGCATTTTCCAGCTCCTCCTACAGGTAAGTAGTGCCATGTGGCAAGTTCTGGCCAATGAAATGTGAACAAAAATGACAATGGTTATTTCTAGACTGAGATAGTGACGAGTCTGTGTATACTTATCCATTCTCTTTCCCTGCTGAGGGCACAATGAAAGCCATGTGTACCATATGCAACAGCCATGAAATGACGTACCTCTATCAACCAGTGTCAGCTATGGTACAGAGCCCTTGTAATGGGCACATAACATGAGCAAGAAAAAAAGTTTGCTGTATGAAGCCACTGGAAAGTAGGGGTTAATTTGTTACCTCAGAACAACCTATAGCCTATCCTGACTAATGTGGCATTAAATTAATCCTGACTATGCACTGCACTGGGATTTAGTAATCTTTTACTGTATAATCTTTTTTCCTTAGGTGCTTCCATGGATTCAAGAAGAAAATTTTTCCAAACAAGATGAAATAATGATAGATGTAAGTATTCTGTCGGTCCCCAATTTCACACTCAAGATCCCTCTTGAAGAAAATTCTGAGAGTTCTAACTTCATTAGCTACATGCTGGCGAAAGCTGTACAGCATTTTAAGGAACATTTTTAAACGTGGTAATCAGAGTGTCTGATTAGGAATGCTTTGTTTACAGAAACAGATGATTCATAAAAGGAAAAAACAACAAAACTAGTTTTAAAACACCTGGAAGATATGTTCAATCTTATTAATAATCAAACACATAAAAACTAAGACAAGATAGCATTTTTTGCCTATCATATTTGCAAGACACAAAATCCTTACAGGTGTAATGAAATGGGAATTCTCATATATTGCTGGGAATACAAACAGCCTTTTTGAAAAGCTATTTGATTATGCATATTAAGAGCCATAAAGTTTCTTTTGATACAAAAATTCTACTTCTAGAATCAATACTAAGGAATAAATCTAAATTTGATTGAAAGCCACCTTCCGAACCCCTTGATCTATATTTACAAAATTATTTAAAATAGTAAAATATAAAAACAACCTTAATGTCTAAAAATAAGAATAGTTTTGGCTAAATATCCCCTAAAGTAGAAGCGCAATTAAAACTGTATATAATATTTTCCTTTGGTAATATGACTAATCTTAAAGAATAATTAAATTTTAATTCTAAGTTATCATTCATAAGGGACCTTGTTAGTAAGTCATTATCAATGTGTAATAAGCTAGATATTACAGGATTTGCTGCCTCTCCCTTTGCTTTTGAGTTTTGGAGAACTTTTTTCAGGTTATTTCAGTCAAACAATCAGTATCTTTTTAGCATCTACTATGTGAGGCACAGAACTCAGGTACCTTAGAGGAGAAAATGATGTATTTGAGAAAATCCTTTCCCAAATGAGCTTCTGTTCCAGTGGGGGATGGGAGTTACAAGACACCCACACATAACAGTAATGCAAGGTGGCCTTTTTGGGTACCCAACGGCATGGGCCTCTGGAAGCTGAGAGGAGTGTCATTCACTTTCTGGAAGGGGAGAACCCTCAGCTGGATTTTTTCCATTTTTTCTCTTCCTTTCTCACTGGCCTTCTCTCTCCTTTCCTTTGCTCTTTCCCTTCCCCCATCCATCCCCACTTCCCAGCATTTCTTCTCCTTTCCTTTCTTTAAAAAAAAAATAAATCAAAATTGTGCAGGTAGGAGGAAGAATATTTCAAAAGAGGAGAAAGTATGAGCAAACGCGATGAGAATGAATGGAGTGTTTAGGCAATAGGCATGTTGAGAAATTCTATTAAAGTTTTCTTCCACTAGGGGCCTTTGAGCTTCCCTCCATCTGGGAGCTTCCCACCTATATGAGTTTGAGTTTTTTAGTTGGAAGCAACCAAAAGCTACTCATCTAAAAGAAATGGAAGGATGCTATCTGACTCACAGAACTAAAGGGGAAGCTAGACCATCATGCCCGGGGCTCAAACTCCATAGGCCACAGTGAGACACTCTAGATTTCTACAGAAGGAGACAGTGTGGTAGTGCTCAAATGGGTACTGACTATGCATTTATATACAAAGAAAAATATTTTCAATGAAATAATCTCTTCATAGATTTTTAAATGATGCAAGTACAATGGCAGTGGGAAATAAGATATTGAGAAACTGAAATATTGAGCAAATTATTTTAATAAGGCTCACAAAAGGATCTTTCACAAGACAGTACTAATTTTTCTTCTTAAGTTTTTAAATTCAATAAGTAACAAAATCACAAATTCCAAGAATTTAAAAGACAAGAATTCTCCATAATCCCACCATTGCCACAAAACCACGATTATCATCTTAATATTCTTTCCTAATTACATTTCCCACTTATTTTCTTAGATGGATTCCAAGAAATAGAGTTGGTCAGAAGGCTAACATTTCACTGTTCTTCATACATACTGCCAAATTTGATAGTAAGGTCTGAAGTACTCATTTCTCATATCTTTACCAGCATTTCAATTTTAAAGGTTTTATATCTTACTGTTATTCTTTTGATTATTCATGAGAGTGAACAATTTTTCCAATTCATTTACTAACTGAATTTCTTCTTTTGTGCATCCTGTTCAATAGAGTGGATAAGATTTTTGTCAGTGCTGTGATTAGAGAAATGCACCTGGGTCCAAATCCACCAACAGTGAAAGCTAAACATACTAAGGAAAATAGCAGGCAAGATGGTGAAAAAGAATCACCATCATTTTCAATCACTTGTTAGGTGCCCCAGCTGCAAGTCTGTAGCTTGCTAACATATGAATTTCAGTCTGAGAGTGTGGGACATATATTTAGAAGCCTCTTCTGGAATTCTCATCTGGTAACCTAGCTTTCTGAGTACCTGACTTCTGATTGGTTTGTGATGTGTTTTAGTTCCACATTCCAAACTTTTATAGCTGCCAAGACTGGGATGAACAGTTACAGGCTGTCACAGAATGTCTTGCATATCCTGAGTATTCAATAAACATTCATGGATTTGCCCTTACTGAGTGCATGCAGAAGACAGAGTAAGCACTTCATTTTCGCATCAAAGGGAGAGCCCATCACAGAGGTTCTACAAACCAGGGGAACTATGAGGATCCCTTCAAATAACGGTATTAAAAATAGCCATATGTATGGGTTTTCTTTTATTTTAGTATGTATTAATTTTTTTCAAAAGCCAAAAGCATTTGTTCCATTATCTATTCTGGACTTTTATTCCAAGGTGAAAACACATGAAGTCTATAAATAATTTATTAATTTTGGTTATTATTGTTTTTTAAGGAAGAAGATCTGATACATCCTAAACCTGGCAAGTAGAATTACCTCTTCAGCTGAGACTGAAAAATCCCAAAATACATTAAATAGTGCAATAAATCTAGTTGCAGGAAGATTTGCCAGTTACATATTTTGAAGTACTGTCAATTTTCTTATATTGAATGGCAGTTAAATAGACATTCAAATTGAGTTAAAGTGAAAATTCCTTAAAAAAAACCAAATGTACATATTTTACTATAGTCTATAGTATATTAGTTCTTTGTATATTAAATATTAAATCATTGAGGCATCTGTATTCTATCTCTTCTGCTACAAATGTGTCACTTCCTAGTTACAAAAGTTTTTTTAATTTGCTTTTGAATTTATAATATGTAATAATTGACCTTTCAAAAAAAGCTATTCTTCATTCCTTTCTTTCGTGAAGACCTATAGCTTCTGCATTTTTTTATTGTGGCAAAATATACATAACAAAATTTATTATTTTAACCATTTTAAAGTGGTCAGTCCAATGGCATTAAGTACACTAACACTATCGTACAGCCATCACCACCATCCATCTCCAAAACTTCTCTCATCTTCTCAACCTTGAACTCTGTACCCATTAAACAATAACCCATTCCTCCCCTCCCCCAGCCCCTGGCAGCTTCCTTTCTGCTTTCTGTCTCTATAAATTCGAGCACTCTAGGTACCTCATACAAGTGGACAGTATTTGTCCTTTTGTGACTAGTTTATTTCACTTAGCCAAATGCCCTCAAGGTTCATCCGTGTCGTAATAAGTCAGAATTTCATTCCTTTTTAAGCATGAGTACTATTCCCTGTGTGTCTATGTCACATTTTTTTTTATCCACTTGTCCGTCTTGGATGCTTGGGTTGCTTCCATCCTTTGGCCAGTGTGAATAATGCTACCATGAACACAGGTGTATTGCATGGTTTCTTCTCAAAATAGACACAACAGTGCTCTTTTAACAAAGACTTAAATATCATATGGAAAATACAAGATACTTTTAGCTGACACTTAACCTTTTAAGTTGTTGTGACACAATAATAGGAGTTATTTGCCAGTATACGTCACTAAGCATTACACCAAAAACATATTTATAGTCAGTCTTTCAAATTTTAAAAAGAAATATAATTAAAGAGAACTCAAAACCTTTAAAGCATTTTTCACCTGGCCTTGATATTCTGCTTAATAGAAAGTCTTGTCAGAGAAAGAGTTCAGAGGCAGCCAACTGAATATAATCAACTCCAAATGAAGATAACTCTTCTTATCATAACTGAAAACTATTAAAAAAGGATACTACTGATAGAATTTACAGTAAATCTCAAATAAATAGAGGCTTTTCAACCATACATGTAATATATTTGTCAGAGAAGGTGCCTAAATATCAGTTATGAAGGGAAGCTATCTATTTTATATCCAACGAGCTATCCAAAACTTGCAAAGTGAAGAGAGGAAAAAGAGACAGCAGGTGGGAAAGCAGCTGGGCAGTGAAAAGCCTCTGCATGCAGGCTGAACTGGATTTTAAACCTGGCAGCTTTATTTTCTAGATGTGTGACTTTAGATAAGATCCTTAGCCTCTCAAACCTTAGTGTTTTTACCTGTAAAGTGATAAAAGTAGTAATTTTTGTTTTATTGGTTAGTTGTGAGAATGGCAGTAAATAATCCATAATGATAAGCATAAAAAAATGGTAGCTTTGACTGAAAAATAGTACCATTATTATCAAGTACCTAACTCATAATGTTAGTTTCCTACTTTCCTTTACCTAATTGTACCAACATTTTAAAAAGTTAATTGTGTTAATAAAAGGTTTCTCTAGACCAAAAATATTTTAATGTTTTTGCTCTCACACAACCTAAAAGAAATCTGAAAAAGTTATTTATGCTCCTGCATGTGATTTTTCAATGTAAGTTGAAAGAATGCCATCATATATTCATGAATATATCATATATTCAAAATGCAAAAAAAGGAGAAAACCTACAATCAAGAATACCCTACCCAGCAAGGTTATCATTCAGAATTGAACAAGAGATAAAGAGCTTCCCAGATGAACACAAGCTAAAGGAGTTCACTACCACTAAACCAGACTTACAAGAAATGTTAGAGAGACTTCTTGAAGGGGAAAAGAAAAGGCCATAATCAGAAGCAAGAAATTATGTAAAGAAAAAAACTTCACTATTAAAAACAAACATATAGCAGGATGGCGGCGTGAGTAGAGCAGTGGAAATCTCCTCCCAAAAACACATAGAGCTATGAAAATATAACAAATAAAAATCTGCCTAAAATAGAGACCACAGGACACAGGACAACATCCAGACCACATCCACACCTGCAAGAACCCAGCGCCTTGCGAAGGGGGTAAGATACAAGC